TATATATATATATATATAGATATATAAGCACACGTGACTCAGAACAAAGCAAAGCCACTATACCGATTTCTCGCAGAGATTTTCTGTCCCATTCCATGGCATTCTTATGTTAGAAATACTTTACACTCTCACTTTCTCTTTGTCTCCATCTTGTGTGCTGAATGTTTTACAAAGCAGGACATGTTTTCATAAAGCTCTCTGAGAAAGGCACTGGGAATAAACAGTACTCAGGAATGCAGTCTTTAGTTTACACACCTGCAGACTTCATAAAAAATGATTTACTAGATATATTTCCTCTATCATTAAAAAATGGAGCACATTACCAATGAGTCACCTTGTTCCCAATTAGATATTTATGTGATACTGCTAGGCAAACTACGGGGAGATGTTGTACATATACGTTACCACTGAATGGGGCCACATTAACATAGAGATTAATTGACCTATCAGACCGCTGGCAGTAAGGAGCACACATTTGAATATTTGGTTAAAATAGCCTGAAGAGGAATTCATGCTTGATTTTAGATAAGTCTCCAACAGAGCGATAATTCACTGCATATTTAAATCCTTCCTTACCCTGAGTCAAGAGCAATCAGTTAGATTGTGATGATCATTTGACGACACGAGCAGTTGGGGAGGGGTGGGACAGGGGGCAAAAGGCTGTTTGCAAACAAATTACATGTCATCACAGAAAAAATAAAAATACATATATATGATTGCAAGAGTGCACTGAGCCACAAACAAAAACAGAGAGTGGAATCAGGGCTTAATGTTTAGATTTGAGGAATGCATGAGGATTAAACAAGTCTGAAAGGCTTTGTGTCTCTGCTATTACAGACCATTCCCACCCCTCCATAAAACCCCCCAACACACCACAACTCTATGTTCGTATTACGACAGTTTTCTATTTCAAATAAGTGCTGTTTTTAAACTTTCTATTCATCAAAGGAAAAAAAAAAACGAAAAACATTTTCATCATGAATACTAATAAGTAATGTTTATTGAGCACCAAATCAGCATATTATAATTATTTATGAAGGATCATGTGGCACTGAAGACTGGAGTAATGGCTGCTGAAAATTCAGCTTTGCCATCACGGTAATTAATTAAATTTTAAAAGTTATTTTAAACTGTATTCATTTTCAGTTTTTATTGTATTTTTGGTCAAATAAATTCAGCCTTAGTGAGCAAAATCAAAACATGAAGCTGCCATATTGTATTGCACCAGAAAACTGATTATAACAAGGACTGGACTGGTAAATTACATGTCGTCCCAGTGAAATTTATCTCCATATAGTGCTACTCTGCCATTTATGTTGACACTATTACAGAAGTGCATATTAATGTATGTATTGCCATTTAGAACTATTATAATTTTCTTACTATTCAGTAATTGTACCATAGTCACTGGGTGCACTGCAATGGATGAAAATTTAATTTCTCTCCTCAGAGCTTTTTGACAGAGGAATGAGGATTTCATACATTGTCAAAATTTCTTTCAATGCCATTAAATTAGCATGGAAAAAGTTATTTTTTAGAAGGATAAAAAGATGCTTTTTTATGATGATTCATACCTGGGGTGTTTTCCTGTCAATGTGCCCTGTGGATTGGTAGCGGCAGCAGTGCTCTGAACGAAACTAGACTCTTGAACATGTGGTGGCGAGGACCTTGTGGGTTTATAATACTGCAAAAGTCACAAAAAGAAGACAAATGTTAAACATTCTACATCGTTGTCTATGGGCAATGCTATGCTCTGTCATCTAAACATTTAATTAATACAAGTTGGATAATGCATCCAGCATGCAAGAGCAGCTCAGGCTTCTGCTTAACTCTTCGCTTTGATTCTTGTCTTTGACAGAGTCAGCGGCCGGGGTTCCACTGATACTCAGATAAACCAACAGACCACTATGGAACCTGCAGACAAATCCAATTTAAATTTCACACCTTGAAAGTCTTCCTCATAAAAACCCATTTCTGCTTCGAGCAGAATGCACACAATGATCTAAATGTCAGAGAGATACTTAATCTCCTCCACTATCCCACCTTCACTCCACAGTTTCGAGTGGAAGAGAAGAGAGAGAGGGGGAGTGTACAGGAGGAGAAGAACTGATGGCTGATGGGGGATCAGAGAAGGACACAAGAGTCACTCTAATTGGATAATATAGCACTTTCAGGACTATGTAAATCCAAGCAATGTCCCAACATCTTCCTCTAATGGAACTTGTGTGGGAACAATATGTGCAGTGCAGAAGAAACTACGTTTTTTTTCCCTTTTACTTTCCTCTTTTACATTTGGCAGATGCTTTTTTTTCCAAAGCAACTTACATTGCACTCAAAGTATACATTTCAACAGTTTATGCATTCCTTGGGAATCCAATTCATGACTTTTCCATTGCTAGCACCATGCTGTTTGAGCTACAGGGAAGACTGAAACTTTATTGTAATTACTTAAAAATATGCAGTGTATGTGCATAATTTAGCAACTCATTATGTTCTGCTCTGCAAATGATGACTGGGAGCATCTTTACAGATTTGAATGCATCATGTAACATCCCAGCCTACAGGACTTTATTCAATTGTGATATAACAGTAGCTTGGAGGAAGCCTCTTGTGTCTGTGATATTGACAGACTGCTGACACTGCTGAATATTGACACTGCTTTGACAAAGAAATTACATTTGCAGTAAGCTTGCCTTTTTTTCTCAAACCTGGGCTGAAGTAAGATGGCAATACATATGTGAAATGTAACCCACGCGAAATTGAGTCATATGTTTAAAATCACTTACATAAACCCTAGTCTTTTAACTCAAAACAAAAACTAGTGCATGATTACTTGAGACTTTTATATATGGTTGACACACTCTGAGCATTTAACCAGTTATCTAATGCAATGCTGTTATGTTTTGTTATTATGTTATGGCCATCTCTTGCTCTATTCTAATAATTGCATAGCTGTATGATGTAGCGACTTGTAAAGACAGTAAATGCACTATTGAAAATATCAGGTGAGTGGGAAGGAGCTAGAGAGTATAAGATTTATACAGACGAAGAGAGGGAGCAAGAGAGAGAGTAGAAATAAAACAGTGGGAGGAAGTGTTGGTAAGGCAATCTAACTAATAACAGGTTTATGTGAATTCAGAGAGAAAATAAAAGTCGAATATTCAAAAAAGGTATAGAATATGGTTTGCTAAAATGGTCATTTTATATTTTGTAGTCCATGGTGTGCAATATGAAATCAACCGTTAGTTCACATTGTTTTTGCTCAGACCCAAACATATTCTGGCATTAGTATGATGGCCATACTGTTTCACAAAAGCAAAGTTATGTCTCAGAGCAAAAGTCTTAAAATTCATTTCCCTCAAAAGGTTTAAAAAAGCTGTCTGATTCATTCAAAGATAGAAATAGTCATTTCTGAATTTAAGGTCAACCCTTTATCACATAGGTAACTAGTATTAGAAAAGCTAGAAGCCTATCATTACTGAAGCAGTCAATTTCTTTTCCCTTAGAGATGCAATTTGACTGCACTCAAAAGAACCTGTTCAGGCAATCAAAAGTGACTTCAATCGAAATATTTTGAAAGCACATCTTTCTGATCTTTGAAGATGCATTTTCTTTCTTTTTCGAAGCACAGCCACCTACATTTCCAGAAAATGCTTTTAAACAAACATGCTTGAATAGACTACTTAGCTGTTAAATTAATCAGGTGAATTCAGCCAAAATGCCCTAAAGTTTAGAGAAAACATACTACAAATTTTATATATAGCCCGAATTCTCATTTTTAAAATCTGATTAAGACTAATGTGCAGGTATCAAGCAGGTTCTACTGTATTATGAAACATATTGATATTTTATCAAGGGTAATTCACAAAAAGTGCTCACAATCTTAGACCGTATAAGCAACAAACTGCTTAGAATGTTTGGAAAAGGAGGTCAGCAAACTGATATTGAAATATTATTGTCAATGCATCTGAGGAGGAATATGCAGCTAATGGGCAGAACATGTGATGCATCCTGAAATGTTGATAAGAAAGGTAATGAGCATATTGGACAAAAGGGTACTATACAAAAGAGCTAAAAATTGAGACTTATAAAAGAGTATTCTACAAAATGTATTTCAAAATAGCACTGCAGAGATCACCTCAGACATCATAATGGCACATATGAAAGCCGTACACGTGAGTTCCTCACAGTGTGACTGTTATACAGCCAACAGGGGCAAATACTGTACATGGGACGTATGGCCAATAATGAGCTCATTGGGTGTTCAAAGCTTTTTAATGGACCTGCTTTGAACAGAGTTGCATAAGGCTGAATACACGCTGGTTAGTAATGGATGTTTTAATTGCAAGACATGCAAGACCATCACCCACTGTAACTTGAGTGTGTGTGTGATCTGCATGATCTGTCCAATGCTACTGTAGATAGTAACTGATTAAATGTCATGCCAGTGAAGAGTTTCTGTGGTAAATGTGTTACATGAGTTCAGAGAGCTGTGAATTGTTCTTCCTGCTCAACCTCATGTCAGCTGCAAATCAATAAATATTTCACACCTATAGTAAAAAACTTTGTGGTATGCAGGGGCAAAGCAAACAACAAAAATTCACATTTACCTGGCACACGCTAGCCTAAAATATCATTCTAGACAAGGCAAGCTGTGTGTTACCAGTGTATTAATAAATGTTTGTTTATATGCCCATGGGCTGAACTTTCAGCGAACGGTGCACCAGAAAGAGTGAGGTGCTTATGAAATATATATAGAGGGAAAGGTTAGGATGGAATTTGAGATGAGATGGAAACATATCTTACATCAGTAATCTTCTGAGTTTTACAGATATTTCTACCAGAGGTTTCTCTAATGCATATATGCAAAAGTCACTCCATCCTATATTTATTGCATATCATACCATTACTGAAAGAAAAAGTAACTAACATCTAACAATGAAAAAACAAACTAACATCATGTGTCAAAAGCTGGTCTATCCTTGTCAGTAGACTAGTTTTGATTGCTTTGGCTGGCATTTGCATGTCTTCTGACAGTGTGCCATTGCTGTAGCGATTAAACATCTCACTGGGTTTAAATGACATTTGAATTACCAGTTTTCAATGCAAATAGCCTGTATCAGCTTATCTGTGATGGATCTTCTAGTTGGAGTGATTGAGAAAGTGATGACACAGGGAAGGTAACAAACTGTCTTCATTCTCTAGGACACTGGACTGGCGCAAAGTTTCTGAGCTAGAAAGACAGAGAATGATGCAGTAATCACAAACCCTCAATGATGGACTAGTGTGACTACCATTATTAGTGTGTCTGTCCTTGCACACCCTGAATAGCTGTGACAGAGCCTTGTTACAATGAGTCGAGCAGTGTAAAGTGTCAGCTGTTCTTGCTTCTAATTGCTGATGAGCAGAAAATCCAGAGATGTGGATTTGAATCCCTTTTAACGTGAATTTTCAGCGATCACATCAAAATCAGATTGCACTTGATTACATTAATGACTCCATGAGATCAAATCTGGAGTTTTGTGGCTCATAGTCCAGTTGTTCTCAACCTTTTATAATATTTGACTTCTAATATTCAAAGGCCCTCACATCTAAACTGATATGTACCTAAAATTAAACAAACTCAAAAATATGATCAGTTTAATGCTGTATATCGCACTTGATTACATTAATGACTCCATGAGATCAAATCTGGAGTTTTGTGGCTCATAGTCCAGTTGTTCTCAACCTTTACAATATTTGACTTCTAATATTCAAAGGCCCTCACATCTAAACTGATATGTACCTAAAATTAAACAAACTCAAAAATATGATCAGTTTAATGCTGTATATCACATTTTTATTGTTTTCTTATTCGTCAGCATTTTAATTATGATTATATTAATATAACTAAACTTAATTTTAAGAAATTCTTGGGGCCCCTTAGTGGGCTCCGACCCCCTGGTTCAGAACCACTGTTTTAGTCCATGTATTTTAGCTTTCAAGCCATCTGTATGCTATCATACTTCTAATAGTTAACAAAATAAATATATAAATGCAGTAAACATATAGTATAGTCTCTCTTTTTGTGAAATTGGAACGAAAATACTTATGATGACCCATCATGCAAACTTATGATTACTCAAATGCTGCCCTGAATGCGAACGCTCTTCACCCTTATACTGCCTGCCAATAGCAAGCAAGTTGGCTAGCATGTTGAACAGTTAGTTTGAAAAACATAGCTAACTACTACTACTTCTACTACTACTACTTATAATGAACAAGTGTATAATTTCAAATGTAGGTTATATGCAACAATTTGAAAAAACAAACAAAAAAAACAACCAAAACATAAATAGCCATAATAACAGTTCAGACGGCGCACATAATAAAGTGATTTTGAAGGATTTGTAAGCAGACACTGAATAAATTAACTCTTAAAGTTTATCTCAGGCAATGCAGCCTGTTTAGGGTCTTATTTGTTTGGCAAACCTAATTGTTCATGACAACAGCTGTGATGTAATGTCTTTTGAGAATTTTCTTTAAAAAGAAAATCCTTTTGATATGTCCAAGGATTCCTGTTTCAATAGGCAATGTGTCAACACAGGACACTTCGTTTTCAAAGAAAAAAAAGAAAAGAAATGTCATAGGGTCTATTAAAAGTCTGATCACAATAGAAGAGACAGACTAGAAGGCAAGATATAAATGCAATCCAGTTCAAGAATATACCATCCGGATACAAATCATACATTACTGCAAGGTAAAAAAGGGGCCAAAAGTGCTTACGCTCAGGAGCTGCAGGCCTTGCTGAGGCCTAAGGCTGGGTTTAGGGGCCAGGCTGCATGAGGTGAGGTTGTAGTTTTTCTGGCTACGGCTCTCTTTCAAGTGTGCATGGAGCTTTTCTCTTCTTCTCCTGTAGGGGGCAGCATAATTAGATAAGAATCCAAAATACCATGGGCTATGAGGATATTTATTTACATAAACACACACAAGCAGACTCATTCACATGCAAACACATCACCCATTATCTGTGAGAATATGTTCTGACAGTTAAGACAGCCCATAGTTATTTTTCTGGGAGATAAAATAATAACTGGTGCACTTAAATGTCACTACATCATTGTTTCTTCTGTCGGTTCACTCACTCATTGTATCATGTGTTATATTTAAATTGCTGGGCTGTTCTGCACACACCCCTTCTTGCTTCAGGAGCTCTGGCTTGCAGTTAGTTGCTCTTACTGATGCTTCACTCAACTCATGAGTGAAATATGGATACATACTCAACCGCATGGATCAGATCCATCAAAATTTCAGTGTAATGTGACTATTATTACCCTTTTCCTTCTTATGCCTACAACATGCAGCATTTTAAAGGATTTTATATGCTCTCTAGGCTATTACAAAGGGAGGAGTTACTCTCCTAACCATAGTTTTGTTTTTAAAACTTACTTTAATCACTGGACACTCAGTTAAAAGAGTAACTAATTATAACTAAAGCTTAAATAATAAAATATAGTTTTCCAGACATGTGAGAAGTGTTTATGTTCTTCAGGGTTTCCACTTGTTTTAGGCACTCCTTTTTATTTTTTTTACCTGCTAAAATATTTTTCAACTTGGCATTACTAGTAAAATGTCTAGAAATCACACTTTTAAAATTAGGTGTCCTTGTATATTCAAGATGGGGGATGTAAACATGTTACTCAAATGAAATTTAAGTAAATTAAAAATAAGTAGGCAGTGTGGCAGCTCACTAGAATGAAGTTACTGTGTCTTTTAACAATTGCATTTTTAAATACAGCTCTGAGGGGTTAAAAAGGGGGAAAACAGTCATCTTGAGCCTATAATGACTGTGAATATATTTCTCAATTAAATAGTTGCAACGAGCCTGTAAAAGCTGAATAGCAAAAGCACCAGCAGCAGCACATATTCGAAGCATGCCATGAGTCAAAAATGTTTTAATTCATTTCCTTTGAACGGTGGCCAGTAGAGCTGTGGGTGCTTTTATGAGAAAGTAATTACGTCCCCACCTCCAGTCATTATGTTTCTGGGTTTCCATAGCAGTCACTATTTCCTCTAGCTTGTTATATAGTGCCCTTCTTTCAAATGATATGCTCTGGGGAACAGCTCAAGCTTTGATTAATTCTGAGGTCCACTTACTTGTTCCGACAGTAGAGAGCCATGCAGAGGGTGCCTAGAAAGCTGATCCCCATAGCAATACATGTGATAGACATCACTTGTCTTTTGTACACCTCCTTGCTCTCTGTTGGGACGAAACAAGGAGGAGAAAACAAGAAGAGACATAAACAAAACATTCGCTGCTATTCAAAAACAAGTATGTAGCACATATGAGATGCTTCTACAGAGAAACAATGACAATGAACGCAGCACATCACTAAATATTTGTTGCTGTAATAGAGGTGGCCTCGAATAAGATAATAAAACATGGATGCTCTAGCGGGAGCTTAATTTTCCAAAATGGGTCATTCAGTGTCAAATCAACTCATTCTAATTTTCAAGTTCCTTGGCTCAAATTTTTGATTTTGACGATAGTTTTTTCTGAAGAAAGATCATGGAAGTATATTTAAGTATATATGAGTTGACACAGAAACTGGGAGTCATGAAACTGAATTGTTGAAAAGAGGCGAGTAATAGATGCTGGTATTTATTTATTCATATATTTTGTGGGGATGGATGGCACAGGACAAGTGTTAAAAACTAAATGGACACTATTAAGTGTGAAAAATAGCGGCTGTCATTTCTCATATGAAAGAGCAAATCACGCTTGTCTTCACAACTGTTAATAGGCAATCAATCAGATTATACTCAGACACAACACACTCTACAAGAGCTGCCACAAACTTCACGCTGAACACATTGGAGTATAATGAATGTGTCAGTTACATGACTGTGAGTGTGCCTAGTAATAAAACAATCGTGAACTTTACAAGGTCAGACTCAAAGCGCATTGTTAACCTTGCAGGTGAAATTAACATGGTAGAGTCATCATGGCTACCCGAAGTAATATCATACTCCTTATCACATCCCCAGGCAGTTATATAGGCATACAGCTTTGAAAGTGTAAGGACCAAAATCTCCTAAAAATATCAGTCAAGATTTGTTTGAAATAATGTAGTATTATTCTAAATCAGGTGTTTGAAATAATGTAGTATTATTCTAAATCAGGTGTTTGAAATAATGTAGTATTATTCTAAATCAGGAATAAAATCTGACAAAAAGGTGACATGAATTTAGGTTTGATGATGGTTATATATATATAGCCTTTTTTTTTCAAGGCTAGAGTAAATAAACACTATATTATTTATTCCAACCATTATAATATATAATTGCTATTATATTTATTAATATGTTGAATTAGTGTTTATGTTTTCAGTTTTCATTGCAGTTTTACTTGAAGTTTCAGTAATTTTGTCATGTGGTTTTATCATTTTTATCATTTTATTTATTATTTCTTATTTTATCCTACACCCATCATATTGATTTTACACATTCATATTTCCATGGGTGGTCCTTCTCCTCCCCTTTATAGTATCTCTGGTAATATAGATATAATAGATTATCCAACAGATCAGAGGTTCATGTAAGTCCACTAACTTGCAGAAAAGATTAAGAAATGAAAATGCAAAACCTTGTGAAACGAATCAAGCATCGCTCAGTTTTTTTCTTTTGCTTTCATTATTTATTCATTGTGATGCTTCACAAATTGACTTATTATTCCCATGCCACTATTTGTCCACCATCACATAATTAAAGTGACTGGAAACCCTGGGATACAAAAAGCATAAAAAGGAAGGAGGAGAGATAAGAGGAAGTGGGATGTATTAACACATCCTCTCTTTACATTCTCTGCCCTCTCCTACACATTACCTCATCCTCTTCCACATATCACTGATCCTCTCAAAGAGAAGAGAGTGATGGGCAGGAAAAGTGGGGTGTTATGTTAATTTATCCATTCTTTTTATTTGTGCCTGCTATTAATGGCCATACTTTTACACATATCATCAATGCTCTTGAAATATCCAAGTCCAACATGTCCCTGTACAATGACAAATAAATAAATAAAATAAAAAAACACTTTATTTCTAAATCAAATTGAAAACACAATCAAAGAGACTGTTTGCTTTTACATTTATGCAGTACATTTGATTATTTTCATAAGTCCAAATCCAGCTAGAGCCAGCTGGTTTTTGTTTGACAAGTATTATTATTATTATGATGCTGATTATTATCATGATGCCCATATAACATTTTCAGGATTTATATATATATAAATAACACACAATCATTGAAAAGTGAAATTAATAGTTTTAATCTAATCAAAAGTGACAGTATATATTTTTACAATGCTAAAAAAACCTTCAAATAAATGTTGTTCTTTATAACTTTCTATTCATCAAAGAATCCCGAAGAGTATTGCAGTTTTTAAAATTTCACAATATTACTGTATTTTTGATTAAATAAATGCAGCCTGGTTAAGCATAAAACATTAAAACCTTTAATGGTATTATAGTGTATTATAAATACACTTTGCTTATAAAGAGACACCCCTATATAAATAAATAAAAAGTCACTATATGAGTGCTTTTTTCAACAATTCAGATTTTGCTCCATTGCCCTGACAGTCTAGACAGTTCTTTTTTGACAAGTCGCACCCAGTGACAGCAATGCAGTGGAATCTGTTTGCTGGTTTTCAATTTATCTTTACACATCACTACATAGAGCAAACTCTATGTAGCTTTTTTTCCCCTGACCTGTCAGGTCTGAGAGTAAACAGAAATGTGGTATTTTTCACACTTCTGAGTTAATTATTTTTGTGTGTAAGTGTGACCTGAGTGTGCACTTTTTAGTAGAGGTACCAGGCATGTTGTGAGCTAGCCATGCTTGCCTAATAACCATGACTGAACTGGATAATGAGTGAGAGACCTGACATTTCAGTGGTGCTGCAGGCATCTCAAAGACACATAACATTTTTCGACCCCTTCATGCACAGACACAACTTGAACACTTATAGCTAACCTGGAATACCTGTGTTTCCCTTAAGATTCCCATAACCTTCACAGAGAATACAGGATTTCATTACTTCCCTCTGATTTTTAACTATAAAAACCATCCACTGTAAAGGTTTACTATTTAAAAAAAAAAGACCCAGGGGAGAATTTGCTAAACATTGGGGTCATATTGGTGCAAAACCTTGTGTCTTATTTATGAAACACCCACAATCCAGCATAGAAAGTAAATCTGTAAATGTAAATTAACCAATTATTCTTTTCAGAGCAAACATTCATGCTTTCTATGCAAATGAGGCTTATTATAAAATGCATGCTATTTGCCTTGCATAATTAACATTGTAATATAAACTCAAGTTTTATTTAGAAGAGGCATTTGTGTACATTTTCTTGTGATCATGGCAGCAGTAATTAAAATTATGGAGAAGATCTCTATAATCAGCGTATATCCAGACATGAGTTAGGCGTCTGGATTTCAGTGTAGCAATACTGTATAGATCCAGCATACTATGTCAGTGGTAGTCTGATGCATCATCCACAGTATAGTAAATGGGGAATTGCACTATGCAAACAGCACCCAGTACTAATTTCTTAGGCATTTTTATGCTGTTATGGTTATCTGATTTGAATAATTCCTTTAGTGAAAAGGGTGTGAAAACATTACAGACAAGAAATGCAAACCAATGATGATATTAAGAGGCACAACTCATTTTTAGTGAATTCCCCCTAGAATTGACTCACAAGCAGCCAATTTGTAGAATATACATCTGCGTGCATTATATGACTGAATTGTAACATGGTAAGCAGTTAAGATTAGGGTTGGGTATCGTCTGAATTTGATCAATTCCGATTCCGATTCTGCTTATCGATTCCAATTCTTTTCGATTCCCAGTTATAATTCCAATGTGATTAAATAATATCAAACATTTATCCTGTGTCTCTTTTTTGCAAACCATTTATTGGAGCTGAATACCATGAACAAAAATCAACAGGCTACATAAAAACTGGACCTTTTTCCCCAATGGAAGTTGTGGTTCTCTCATGATTCTGAAGAAGAAACATTAGACAACTAAACAAAATCACATGTAATTTATGCATTAAAGGGGTCATATGACGTTGTTAAAAAGAAAATGATTTGGTGTATTTGGTGTAATGCAATGTGTTTATGCAGTTTAAGGTTAAAAAACCACATTATTTTCCACATACTGTACATTATTGTTTCTCCTCTATGCCCCGCCTTTCTGAAACGCATCGATTTTGACAAAGCTCATCATTCTGAAAAGCGAGGTGTGCTCTGATTGGCCAGCTATCCAGTGCGTTGTGATTGGCCGAATACCTCAAGCGTGTGACGGAAATGTTACGCCCCTTACCATACTGTGATGCCGTCTACCAGCGCAATGAGACAAAATCACTCTACTCTCTTTCATCAAGTGTAGTCCACTCTTTGTCGTTACAGCTAAGAGGAAGTGACACTGACTTCACAGGTATCATTCTGAGCTCTGCAGTGTGTACATGGCAACTATCAAACCATAACATAGAAAATAAATGCTAAAATGAAGGCTTAAACAAGCTGTCACTCTCACAGCTGTGCAAGATAGTGAGAAGCACGTCTCAGTCTTCACAATGTTCTTTTTTTTGCAGGCAGCAGAATCAAAACAAGACCCTGTTTCAAATGACAAACTTCATGTGGTCTCACAGTCTTTCATGTGCGCAGGCTGCAGGGTGCCCCCTTTGATGTTCAATAATTCAGAATTTGATAGAGAGATAAACAGAGAGACAGACAGACAGACAAGTGCGTTGAACTAGTAGTGCGTTGAAACTACCAGTTCAGTTATTAACTTGATAAAATCAGTTACTCTGACTACTCTCGACTTGTCTATGAGTGTGCTGACACAAGTGAGTGCATCTATCCTGTAGAATTTGACTGGACAAAGAGAAAACAGGAAAAACAATCGAAATCCAGATATAAAAGTGAGCGAAGAGCCGGCTCCTCTCATTCAGGAGCCTCAGCAACGGATATTGGAAATCAACGTGAACAAAATTAATCTGCCTGTTACCCTGCCTCACCCATTGATCTACAGCTCTGGGAATCTTCCAAGCTCTATAATAAAAAAACGTCTCAGTTACGTATGTAACCCTCGTTCCTTGAAGGAGACGTCATGTCGTGACCGACGAATTGGGATCTCGCTTCGAGAGACCAATCTACTTCGAGTGTAACTAAACGAGCCAATGCACT